ATTCCAGTGTCCTTCGTGTCCCACAGTTGCTGCCTGTCTGGAAGGCTTTTGGTGTGCGTGTGGAGAAAACCACAGGGCCAGGCCAGGGCTTCTGCCTGCCTGGGTTCTGCTCCTACAGTGTTGTGGCTTCTGTATTCTAAAGGATGGGTGTCTGGATGACAGATCACGTCTGCTCAGTGCCAATGTCTTGGCTGGGCACAAGATCAGGAGGCACCACACAGCTTTGTAGATTCAAACAGCAATTCTTTATTCCCGAACTCACACCGGCCTCTACAAACACGTTCTGGGGAAATCTAAAATCTGCCCGCCCGCTTCACCTACTCCATGAGGCTTTTTTCCAAATCCCATTTGAATCTCAAGGCAGCAGGCACGCCCTACTCCCAGCAGAAATAACCTTCAACCTGCAACTTCCCTAAACTCGGATTATCTTAAACCGGGAACACCCTAAACCCAAATTGTCTTAAACCTGGATACTTCCTAAAACCTGCAGGATACACCCTAATCCTGGATCCACCCTGGTCCTTGAGCAGGGTCACCTTTCTCAAAGACACATGCAATGTCCAAGGCAAGTCCATTTAACATGGGGCACGCTGGCAAGGAAATTTCGATGCGTCATTCCTACTTGGCAATGGCCCTCAGCAGCTCAGCAATCTCTAACCCTGACAAAGACTTGCTGCCCATTGCTGGCCACAGTATGCACATGGGGAGATTGTGTTTTTACTATAATGCTGATTTCAAGGAGAATTCTTTTCATATTTCACAGAAATAAAATGTTGAAATTTCAATTTTTTTTTCCTTTTTCTGATGCTGGGGATTGAACCTAGGGCCTGCTTCTGTTGGGCAAGCGCTCCTGCACAGAGCCATACCCCTAGCCCAGTGTTTGAAGGTTAACCCTCACTTTGACACTTTGAAAATCCAGTATGTCCAATTGGAGAGTATTGCCAGTGCTTCTTAGTAAATGTTTGCCATAAGCCGATTTGTTATTTATAATAAACGTATTGTCAAGAGATTTAGATGGGCTATTCCTACCAACTGTCAAAAAATAATAAATGTACTATAATAAATGTGGCTATGGTACAAGTGTCCACACTGTCTCAGAATGAAAGATTGAACCTGAGTGGTTTTTGGAGACAAGAATAATGCAGTTTAGGTATGAAGCCAAAGGTCATAGTTAGGACTGTCCTGAGAATTCCAGGTAGAAGCAAGACAATAGTCATGTGGCTCTTTCTTGGTATACAGGTAGAGCAACAAATTATTTGCATATAGGTGATTGAGTTTGTGAGCAAAGGTGGTGTATGATATGAACTTGGTGAGTTGGTTGGGGATTGGGATTCTATGATGTTATTCTGTGACACTGTGTGGACTGTAGCCATATAGAACGGGGACAGTGTAAGGCTGGAGACCAACTCCTGAGCACTGATGCAGGGATGGCTTTGTCTCTGGGTGGCAGGTGAGGAGCTGGGCTTTTGCTGTGGCTCAGGTGGGATTTGTCTCCAGATGGCAGCAGGGCTTGGCGTGGGAAGTGGGGCCCAGGACAGAATAGGCTGTGCATTGGTGGTTGTTGAAGCTGGGTGAGGGTGACATGAAGGGCTCCTAATAGCATCCCCTGTTAATTTTGTATATTTGCAATTTTTTTCATAACAAAAAGAAAGACTGAGCAAAACTAAAGCATCTTTGAATGTAGAACTGCTTTCAGAGCAACATGGTGTGGGGTTGTCTGTGAGAGGTGTGGGAACCAGGGAGGGGCGCTTCCCATCTCCCTGCACCGTGGGCCCCAGGTGCGTCCCAGCATGATTTCAATCATGTTGTGGTTGAGTTCTTTCCTGACTTCTGTTGAGTGATCAGGTGTCTCTCTGAGACCTGCAATTGAAGAGACAAGGCGAGGAATCACAGGCACATGGTGGCTCCCTGTGTCCAGCTAGCCTTCAGACACTGGGGGGTGGGGGGACAAGCTGAGGGTGCTGGTGGCTGGAGAGTGGGCTGTGCAGGTTCCAGGGAGTAGGGGCCCCACAGGAGGCCACGGTGTTGGCCTACTCAGGAGCCAGAGTGTCTGTAGGGCCCAACGGAGGGGTCTGCAGTGCAGCCCCTCCCTCCCATGGCCCAGGCCTTTTTCAGAGCATGGTGTGGGAGTTGGATGGACAAGGCCACTTCTATGCTTGTGGAGTGTCCTGGGCAGTGCTGTCCTGTGTTTCAGCCTCCTTACTGCAGAAGGGACGATAAAAGTTAATGGGGACATGTGTGTTAATTGTGAGCGTAGGTCAAGGATGGTTCTTAGTAGGAGGTAGGAGAATAGTGCAGAAGGAAAAGGGCTTGTAAGTCACCCAGACCTGGCTTTAGCTGCTGGTGAGACTTTGAACATGTTCCTTGGCCTCTGTGTTTGCCCTGCTATGTGGAACAGGTGACATATCTGCTGTCCTTGGTGGTATGGGAGGGTCACCCAACTTGGCGCACCAAAGTGCTCACATCCAGGGTCCAGCATAGGGTCCTTGGCAGCCGTTTCTGCCTCTGTGGTGCAGCCCTGAGGAGGCACTGAGGTGCTGTGGGCGCTCTCTTGCCAGCCCCTGCTGCCGGCTGTGGTATCTTTTTGGTTTTGAGTGCTGCTTTGCTCAGGACTTGGAGCTTGGGTCAGGAGTAGGTGTTAAAACCTGTATTGGTCACCAGTGGGTTTCTCATCCTTACACCTGGCTCTGAAGGAGGTGGACTGGGTGGCAGCTTGGGCTCAGTCTGCTGAGAGTACGGGGCTAGGGTCCAGAGCTTTGAGGAACAGCAAGCCTTCTTTTGGATGTGCAGTTTTAATGCAGAGTTTGGGGAGCAATGTTGGGTTTGTGGCACAGCTGACCAGAAGATGGTGTGGCTATTTCCCAGGCCTCACCTAGGGCACTGGTGTCCTGAGATTGCTGAAAATTGCGACTACAACTGGGTGGCTAAAACCTCTGAGCCAGAGTCGGAGGTCCAGGTGTGGGCACCTCGGGAGCCATGGCAGATCCCCCGTGTCTTGGAGACTGGAGACGGGTGTCACAGTCCTCAGCATTCCATGGCTTGTATTTGCCTCACTCCAACCTGTGCCTCCCTCTCACCTGGCCATCTGTCCTCCTCCTCATGCCCCACCCTGTTCCAGAATGACCCCATCTTAACTAGCGACATCAGCAACAATTCTGTTCCAAATCTGGCCCCCTTGCTGGGGTGCTGGTCCTTGGCCTGTTGGTTGCACAGAGAGAACTCTTAGCACTTCTCCTGAGCTCCAGCCATCTTTCTCCACATCTGCGTCAAGGGGAGCAGAGTGGTGATCCAGCGTGGCCCAGGGCACTTCCCAAAAAGCCGCTCACAAAGGATGCCCACAAGCCAGCTGAAAACGTACAGGTGCCCAGACCCTGCGCCTTTCTGTGGTAATCCTCTGTGGCAGCCGCTGCCTCTCCTCTTGCTGGCCGTGGTGTCAGAATGATGCCTGGTGAGGGAGTGTTTGTGCCTTCTGTGTCCTGTTATCTCGGAGCACAGGCTGCTTCCCTTCCTCTGAGCTAAGGACTGTCTTATCTATACAGGCAGCCCGGGATGAGTGCTGACAGACTGAGACTATTAACAATTTTTAGGCCAATCGATTTTGCCCCTGTGAGGGTTCTGTGGGTTCTGAATAATACAGAAAGAAGGATGTTTTGCAGTTTCCTAACACATTTTTTTTAAGTTTTCCAAATTTTTCTTAGCTAAATGTTGGTAGGATTTTTTTTTCTTTCCTAAAACTGTCCTAGGTGGTAGAGCAACGGTTCATGCTTTAGGCTGCTCAGTGGGTAATCTTCAGTTTGTGAAGATTCCTGAGATTCGTTGCCAACTCAGGGTCTGTGAGGTCGGAACTGGGCTGACTCGGGGGGTCTGTGGCCCCCCCCCCCCCCCCGTCCTTCTACAGGCCAGACCCCGCTGGAGGTGCTGCATGGCAAGGCTAGAACCAGTGTTGTGTGGTGTAGACTCCAGTCCTGTGTTGTTTGTCACCTCTCCCTGAACTTGGCCACAAACTTTCTTGCTCTCTTGGACTTTTGGCTGTTGGTTGCTTTTGACTTCTGAGAATGGTGGCTTTTGGGTGGGTCCTTGCTGTGATGGCCTCAACGTCCCCTGCCACTTGTTCAGATACAGTGCTGGCCAGTCTGGCTGAGGGGGCTGCTGGGTGGGTCAGCATGCGCACTGTGACCAACCCACCCTGCTTGAGAGCCCCCCCCCCCATGAGCCTTAGGCATCTTCTAGTGTGTTCTTGGGGGCCTCTGAAACTGGCTCTCGCGAGCAGGGTTGTTCTTGCTCTCGGCAGTATTTGCTACAGCAGCTTTCTTCTTCCCAGTATTACTTGGTACCATCTTCCTTAATTTGTCTTTCTTTGTTAAAGTTTCCTATCATTAAACTTGATGCATGGCTCAGAGAGAGGGAGGAATACCAGCTTATGCTGTTGGTTCTTGGAAGATTATTTTGTATTCTAGGAAAGTTAACTAGTGGTGTCAATTTTTTTTTTTTTTTTTGTACTGGGATTGAACTCAAAGACACTAAACCACTGAGCCGCATCCCCAGCCCTATGTTGTATTTTATTTAGAGGCAGGGTCTCACTGAGTTGCTCAGTGCCTCACTTTTGCTGAAGCTGGCTTTGAACTTGTAATTCTGTGCCTCAGCCTCCAGAGCTGATGTCAGTATTTTTATACTCTATGAAAATATAAATATGCAGTACAGTTTCACTTCTTGAATCTAAAACTAGTTTGAGTTACATTGACTAGATCGCTCAGTACTGAGGAATGTAGCCTTTGTTTTTCTCCAGAGCTTCTATGTTTCCCGCCTCACTTCCACTGTAATCTGTTATATTGAAAGAGTTGCAGAATTAAATGGTCCTGGGTAGCAATACTTTGCTAGTTTGTTACTTTGGTGCTGTGGTGAGTCAGGGTCCTGAATTGCTTTGTATTTCAATTCACTATTTGTGCTTATGTAAGAATTTTTAAAAATCTGATTTTTACATTTTATGTTTCCCATTTTAGTGTAGGAAAAATGACGATGGAGAGACGACTGTTGTTGTTGAAAAGGACCATTTTATGGATGATTTCTTCCACCAGGTAAAAGCATTTGATGAAACTTAGCCATAGCCTTTTTCTTTAAACACAGTTATGCTGATGTAATGATGCACTTGCCATGTTTGAGATGATATTAAAGTGAGTGCAGTCACACACTGCATGAATATCCTGGACAAAGGAGACTGTACGTTTGATGGTGGACCCACGGGCCATGCTGATTTGTCAGGTACGCTTCATTATGCGCACGCAAGGAACAGTCCTTAATTTGGTCCCATTGTTGAGCGGTGCATGACTGTATTTTTAAAAACTTGTTGTTTGCACTTGAAAGTTCTTTGGATTTTTACAACTATCAAGATGTTAGTTGGTAGTGAGAAGGTTGAAGTGGTGGTTGTGCTCACAGCTGGTGTGAGGGTGGGTGTGCATAGCAGGTGAGGCTGCTCTAGCGAGCAGCAGGACTCCTCCCCAGGCGGGGGGACCTGTGCCCTGGGCAGAGTGGGGCCATGGCACTGCCCACTGTGCCCACACTTGTCTCTCAGTCGGAGCTCATGGTGCCAGACAGTACTTCCTGCCGCTCCAAGCCCCCTCAGGAGACCAGCCAGACCCTTTAATAAATTTTTAAAAGTTCTCACAGGGCCTGAGGGCTCCTTAGTCTTTTGGAAAGCAGAAGTCCTAGCTGCAGAGATTGAGTTGAACTCAGCAAGCACGGCACATACCAGCAGCCACTCTGTTCTCCACAGCCACACAGATCCCCATAGAGTTCCCTGGGGCTAGAAGGGAACATTTGGTATGTTTTTAAGATCTGATGGAAAACTATATTTGCTTACATATAAGACTCTTAGGAGAAAGATTGTAAGTGATCTAGTGACTGGCATTTAGACTGTGGAAGATTGTCAGAAGGGCCATTGTGGAAGCTCTGATCTGACAGTAGCCGCTTGGCCATGCCTCAGGTGTGAGTACCCAGACCCTTGGGAACCACGTCCCTCTAGCCCACAAGGCGTGCTCTTCCCCCACTGCTGCTTCAAGGATTATAACAGGTTTAATATTTGATCTATAATTGCAAATTTTCAAAACTCAGTCAGAATACAAATGCTTAGTTAGTCATGAAGAAAAGAAACATTCAGTGAATTTTTTCAGGGTGGAAGCTTCATTTCCAGGATTCATGTTGATTAGGCAGACTTTGGTCGAGTATTTGCAGTTAACTCCTAAAACAAAGTGGTCAATCAATACATGGGTTTCAAAATACGTAATGTGTTAATAAAAACACACAGAGAGTTGGGTTCAGTCCCCAGCGTTGCAAAAACAAAAATATATAAAAAGTTAACGAGGGGGCTGGGGATGTGGCTCAAGCGGTAGCGCGCTCGCCTAGCATGCGTGCGGCCCGGGTTCGATCCTCAGCAGCACCACATACCAACAAAGATGTTGTGTCCGCCAAGAACTAAGAAAAAATAAATAAATGTTAAAATTCTCTCTCTCTCTCTCTCTGTCCCCCTCTCTCTCTCACTCTCTCTTTAAAAAAAAAAAAAAAAAAAAGTTAACGGTTTCTCTGATTCAACCAGAATTCTTGATTGTTTAAGTCTGCTCACTGGTTTTCAAGTATTTGTTAGTTCCAAATTTTACCTAATGGGAAAAACATAAGAATAAATTGTTAGATATAAGAACTATAGGAAGAAATTAAGAGATTGGATTGCTGACTTTACTTCTTGGAGACAACTCTTGATTGCCTTGGGTCTCTCTGCCACTCAATTATGGTGTTTCCAACACCTTTACCCGGGTGCTCAGCTCTTTGTAAGAATGTATTGTTTTAGAGACTCCCTTAGCATTCAGTAGTGTTGAACACAGTAGGAAAGGTGATACGTAGCCATTCACTGGATGCCACCAGACTATGGGTTTTGCTGATCTGGTCAGAATTCATTTTTGCTATTGCCCTCAGGTTTGCCGGAAAAGCAGTTCACTCATGCTTTGGGACAGTTGAGATGGATTGAATTCCTTTAGTTTCCAACATAAGCTTAAGCTTCCATTTGTTAAATAGTAGCTTTGTTTCACAGATTATTTCTGTGAAATGACTTCTTAGACAAATAGAGAAGCAATTGATATTTGTCAGTGCAAGCTCACTTATAGAAAATATCATTCAGATCTTAAGCAAAACATAGAATACTGCAGAAGACAGGGTTTTGTGGATGACCAGTGTGTGGTTAAGACTGACACGGTGCTCTTGAGTGGCAGGGATGTCCTTTTTGAGAAGATGATTATAATAGAGAGACCCTGTGTGGAGGACTCACACATGCGGGTTGCAGCTGGCACTGCCACCAAGGTGCCTTCCTCCCAGGACGGAGCTCTCAGCCCTCGATTCCCTTTCCTTTGGAGCCCCTTGGGGTGTGTCACAGAACTCTCCATGGCTGGAATCTTCCCTTTGCTTCTCCATGTGCTGTGGCTGTATAACTCTGAAGCTACTTTAGAAAGGGTACTTGCAAATGCACCCTGAAATGTGATAGCCTTCATGATGACATAGAAACATTTTAAAGAGTTTTAATCATAGCATTTTTTACATGATATAAGTAATAAGTGCAAAGTGCATGCTGTCATGCAGACACTGTGTAAGCACACCTGGCCTAGAGGAACAGCTGCTCTTAAAATGCAAAATTGTGTGCTGGACTGTTAATACTGTGACTTTCCAAGTTCAGTCTAGGGTCCCGAGGCCCTCTCAGGAGGCCCTGTGGTCAGAACTACCTTTATAGTAATACCACAGTGTTGTCCACCCTCATTCCTGCTGTCCACTGAGGTGCAGAGGCAGTGTTCAGAGACACACACTGAACACAAGAGGCTAAGAGAGAGTCACACTGCCTTCCACCAGACTAGAAATAGATCTACCAAAAAAAGGTCAGTCACTTTCACTGATTTTATTTTTGGGAAAATATTTTTTCCCATAAAAATATGTTAAATTAGTACATAATATTTGTGTATTGCTGCTGTAACAAGTCACTACAAACCTGAGAGCTTAAAAGAGCACAGATTTATTGTTCTACAGCTCCAGAGTCCAGCATTCTGCAGCAGTCACACAAGCTGAAGAGTAGGTGTGGCCAGGGCTGCGCAGCAGAGGCTGCAGGAGAGCACGCCCTGTCTTTTCCTCTCCTGCCCTGGAGGTGCCTGAAGTCCTTGCCTGCCTGCAGCCCTTTCTTCTGCCCTCCCAGCACACCTGTCAGCCTGATCCCATCATCCTGTCTCCTCCTGACGTTCTGCGTGGAAGGCCTCTTGTGGTTACATTGGATGGCCCAGATAATCCAGGATAATCTCCCAACTCAGAGTCCCTTTGCCATGTAAAAGGATGTGTTCCCCGTGCCAGGAGTGGGATGTGGACATGGGCCACCATGTGTAATGGGTTGTGATGACTGTTTTCCAGTAGATGTGCCTCCTACCTCAGTAGTCATCTGTCCCTCCTGTAGCCATAGCCAGCTCGCCATCCTCTTCTCCCTGAGAACATTGTGACCCTGTCCAGGGCCTGCCTGGATGACTCAGGACAATCTCCCATCTCAAAGTCACATGGGTAAAGGGTGGTTTGCTGTATGAAGTAACGTTCACAGATCCTGGGATTGATCTGGAGGGCCGTTGTGGAGCCTGGAAAGATCTTACAATGGGGACATTAGGTTTTAAATGAATGTTGACCAGTTTAGTCCACTTAGAGAACAAAGGTAATGAACAGGAAAGGCTGGCCATGTGAGCCGAAGCCATCCCCAGGAGGACATTCCTGTAGGCACTCTGCAGGGCGCACCCCTCCCCAACGAGGGCTGGGCCCGTGTTGGCACTACCCACAGTGATGCCTGGGGCTTGATAGTCTGCAGAGTTTTCTGGTGAGTATCGACGCTCATCTTAAAATGCAGGGATATGATACCTTTCTCGCTCTGTTTTTAATGATATCACGAATAGGAAAGGTTCTTATTTCTTTATGTGGTATTTATTCAACTATTTCCCCTCTATTCCTCCTTTTTTAGGTAATGAAAAGTGATAGAAAGTTTGTGCTCGCCCCAGGTGATCCTTTTTGTGTCTCCCCTAGGTGGAGGAGATCAGGAATGGCATAGCCAAAGTAGCTCAGTATGTGGAAGATGTGAAGAAAAACCATAGCATCATTCTCTCTGCTCCAAACCCAGAAGGAAGTGAGTTGTCGGCTGTAAGAAAGCCTGTCTGTCTGTCTCTACTTTCTCTCCTGCTGCCTACAGCACAGGCCTCAGCTCTAGCATCACAGTTGGTGGAGCGAGGTGCTTGCATGAACTCCAGTGTCTATGCCTCCACACAGTATCCCCAAATCTCTGAGTGGCCCAGCGTCCATCCAGGGAGGACCACTGGTGTGAGATCCAAAGCAGCATTGAAATGACATTGCAGAATGGTGATTCGACCTGAAGTCCATGTCTTGGCACTTTTGGACAAGAATGACAGAATTTTGTATTCAGGCCAGTTAGTAGGAGGTAGGGGTCTGGAAATGGCCTTTACTTGTCAGAGCCCGTGGAAGGACAAGATAGGCCTAGAGGGGCTCGGGGTCTGTGGGAAAGCTCCTGTGAGGTGTGTGCGCAGTGTCTGCTGCAGACAGCTTCGAGCAAGTGAGTTTAGGTAGCTGCGGTTGTTGGCAGTGCAGTATCCCCTGGATCTGTGTGTGGACGACCATGCGAGCCATGGCCACAAGCCAGAATCCAGTTGCCATTATGGGGCAAAATTGTTAAAATATGCTTTTTATTAGATTATTTAGTATCTGTGCACTAGAAAAATAAGAACTTGGTTTTAAATCAAAAGAGAATACATTTTTTAATAAGATTTTGCGTGTCTTATAAAATGATGTTGTGGGCTCAGTAGGTGTCCTGTTTCTGACTTAATAGAATGTTTCCCAAAATGTGCTCCTGGAGCCCAGCCAAGGACTTAGATGGTTGGTGACACACACTCTGAGGCCACGCACATCTGTGGGCTGCTTTGTGGCTGTCTCCTCTTGGAAAGTTTGGCGTCCTCAGCGCAGCAGTGACTGGGGGGGTCCTGCCACACAGATGCCTGTGTGGCCTTGCTTGGTCTGACACTTGTGCCCAGGTAACTTTGTATGTGGCGTTTGTCACCACTCTGCTCAGTTCTTAGGGAGACTTCATGTGTCTAAAGACCAGATATTCTTTTGAGTAATGTTGCCTCCAAAGCTTTTTTTTTTTTTTTTTTTTTTTGCCACTAAGAGCAGATATAACTGTTTTCTGAATGAATTCAGAGCTATTGATATTTCAGAGAAGTTTCTTTTGGGCTTTAGGTAAAACTGCTGCTTTTTGTCTGCTGTGTGACCGGGTGTGAACCCCAGATTTGGAAGCCATGTCCAGAAGCTTACTTGGTCTCTAAAAAGCAAAGTACGGGGCTGGGATTGTAGCTCAGTGGTTGAGCGCTTGCCTCTCATGCGTGAGGAACTGGGTTCCATCCTCAGCACCACATTAAATAAATAAATAAATGAAACAAAGACATTGTGTCCATCTACAACTGAAAACAATTTTTTAAAAAAGCAAAGTACGGTTACCCCCTTACCCCAGTAATGAGTCCTAGGAGAAGGAGTTCAGGATGGTGCCTTAGCAAAGGGCTCCTGTCCCCTTCTTGTCCTTTGTTCCCAAAGAAACAGGTGGCCCTGATTCCTGCCAGGTCAAACAGGAGGGAGAGAGGAAGTGGGAGAGTTGAGTCTCCAGCTATCCACAGACCCAGGGGACAGGCAGGCTCCTGGGTGTTGCCGTGCAGACAGCAATAGTAGTCTTCTCATGTAGTTTTCAAGAGTAGTCAGAATAGCTCTTGCTGACATCTCCAGAGGTCAGCCTTCCCTCCAGTCTCACAGTAGTGGACTCCTGAAGATCTACTGTGTGCTGGAATTATACAAATGAAAGTATTCCTTAATGCACAGTGGATTCCTGTGTGAATGCCATGTCCCTCTGGAAAGTGTGCAGGTCAGTTCTTTTTGAGTGGTACCATCTAGTGCCATTCCTGGTTCCGGATGCGAGTAGCTTCTCCAGTCTTTGTGAGGAGCAGAAGCACCCCATGCGTTTCAGGTGTGGGTTGGGCAGTATGGAGGAGCACCCCTGGGCCTCTGGAAAGGTGTTCACAGAGGAGGCCATGGGCAAGATGGTCTCTGTGCTTTAGTCTCTGGGTTTTTCTGGTTTAATCTAGTAACAGATAACCTTTCTAAAGTGTAGCTTTTTGGAACTCTTCCTTTGCTTTGAAAACTTCAGTGCTGACTACTGCTTGTGGAAGAAACCAGAAACTCTGGGGCCTGGCCTGTCTCTGGTCACTTCCACAGAGGCTCCCGGCCTTGTGCTGCCTGAGGTCTTCTTGCTGTGTTGGGAGCCTGCAGAACCTCTGTTCCCTCTTGCAGGATCCTCCTCCTGAAGGCGGCCTTGGCCTTTCGGCTAATTCTCCTACCCTCCCTTGCTGTCTGTTAAGTTCTGCCCGCTTTGTGTGTCTTTCTGCTCTTCCATCAGACTGTACCAGGACTGGCCTCTGGGGTGAGCCTCCCAGTTGCAGGCCTGTGGCGCTCTCAGTCACTGTTGGGAATTGTTTGATTGTCAGCCAGCTGCTGGCACGGGACCTTCACAGAGAAGAACCAGGCCCCTGATCTGCTCCTGAGGCTCTAGGAGCCAGGCCTGCCTCAGGGCAGTGGGGACACTGAGGTCCTGAGGAGGGGCAGGCACAGTGCCTGGCCACTGCCCTGTGGTGGGAGGCAGCAGTGTCTCTGCCACCTGTTTCATCAGGTCATGGGCGGGGGCTGGAATTGTGCCCCCTCCCAGGTTCTGGTGGAGAAGGCTCTGGCACTGAGGGCTGTGTGGTGGCTGAGCCCTGTGGTCTGACTTGAAGGCAGCTGGGCCGTGGGCCACCCTTGGGGAACTGCCATTGAAAGTGTAGGTTTTTTGTTTTGTTTTGTATTGTTTTGGTGCTGGGGAACCCAGGGCCTTGAGCATTCGAGGCAAGCACTCTGCCAACTGAGCTGTGTCTCCAGCCCTGAAGGTGTGGGTCTTCTCAAGGAAAAAGAAGCTCTGCCATGGAGATTGTTTTGTGTAAATTGATTGGACATTAGTTTCGTCGAATTTTATAGCTCAGTGCCTTCTTTTACATTTTTAAAGAAATAAAAGATGAGCTTGAAGATCTGAACAAAGAAATCAAGAAAACTGCTAACAGAATTCGAGCCAAGTTAAAGTGTAAGTTTGTTTATTTATTTATTTATTTTAAAAAATATTTATTTTAGTTGTAAATAGACCTTTATTCTATTTATTTGAATGTGGTGCTGAAAATCGAACCCAGGGCCTCACACATGCTAGGCAAGCACTCTACACTGAGCCCCAGCCCTGGCCCCTAAGTTTAAATGCAGTCTTATGTATGATTATTGATGGTGGGAATGTGAACTGTTGCTTTTCTCTTCCTTACAGTTTTTTAAAATACTTTTTAAAAAAATATTTATTTTTTAGTTGTAGTTGGACACAATACATTTATTTTATTTATGTATTTTTATGTGGTGCTGAGGATCGAACCCAGCACTTCCTACGTGCTGGGTGAGTGTTCTATTGCTGAGCCACAACCCCAGCCCCTCTGCCTCACAGTTTTTTAATTAAAATTGTGACCTCTTTAGAGCATCTGTGTGTATTTGGATGCACTGACTCATGGCCAGGGGCTGAAGCACTTAGCATTATTGTGCTGTTGCTTGATGGCCTTCCGGCCACACTGCAGGTGTCTGAGGACAGCAGCCACCGTGACACTCAGTGTTATAGCCGTGGCTGCTGCCGGCTCCAGGCTTGGGCAGGATCAAACAGAGGCTGCCTTTTCCTGGTCTGGAGAAAGATGTGCTGCAGCAGATGTGTGCCTGCTGTGCCTGACCGGGACCAGCCCTGCTCCTGGGGTGACCGTGCCATTCAGTGAGCTGAGAGCGATACTCAGGAGCCAGGGCCAGCCGATGGGGCTAGCACTGCTGGACACGCCAGTGGCTTGGCCCCTTCTTCTGGGTCTTTGCAGTGAACAAAACTTCCTTTTTCTTTCTTTCTTTTTTTTTTTT